CATTTTGATGACAAGAGTAGTAAAAAACAACTTTTACACTCCACATAATTATAAGAGAACTTTTATTTTAACTGCCATTTTGCCTTTGTAGCTTCCTCAGAGCTAGTAAATAAAACTGTAACATGTACTGGAATTTTATGTACTAGCCCTGAAGAAGCCACAAAGGCAAAATGTCAGTTAAAATAAATATTCTCTTACAATTATCTGGAGTGTAAAGGTTTTTTTTTCTTCTAACTTCCTTTTAACTCTCTTAAATTAACTACATATACCCTATCTGAAAGCAGCCATTTCTAAAGGCCAACCACTATGTTAGAAAAATAAAACTGTTTTATCTGAAGATGACTCCTACCCTGCCAAAATTTATACTTGTGTACGTTAGTCCTACCATTTTTACCATTAAGTGCAAAAAAAAAGATTATGCATCAAGACTATAAATTCCCTTAATAATTATAAACTCTTAAATCAGATCCCCTATAGAACATTTTCAAGAGAAAACAATTTTGGAGATTTTAACCTGCTTTCACATGACAATATTTCCATTTAATATATCATTTTAATAGCCTTCTCTGAATCCATTTCTAACAATTCAAGGTCCTTCCTAAGGTATGGAGCCCAAAACTGAGGACAGTGCTCCAAATATGGTCTAGCCAACAACTTATACAATGAAATTATACCTCATTAGACTTGTATTCAGTGTTATGGTAGATAAAATCTAAAATCCAATTTGTCCTGCCACTAGCAATAACACATTTCTTGGATGGCTTAAGATATTGTTCAACTAGAACACAAAGATCCTTTTCTTCCATAACACTGTTAAAGTTATTCCCATCAAAATTATACTCATAATTCAAATTATGATATCCCACATGCATTACTTTTCTTTTATTATAATTAAAAGCCATTTATCACTTGTTTACCCAACTCACCAAATAATTCAAATCCATTTGTAAAGCAGCAGCAGCATCCTCACAGACACCAACACCCAAAATCTTCTAACATATTTAGCAAACCAAAAAAGCAAAGGTCCAAACATCAAGCTCTGAGGTACTACCCTTGTGACATGAATCACCTTGACTGAACACCAGTTATAACAAACCTTTACTTTTTCCATCTAGCCAGTGTTCTATTCAATGAGCCAACCTATCACCCCACACCTACAGAGACAATTTTTAACAAGCCTTTTATGTGGCACCTTATTAAATGTTTTTTGAAAATCCAGAGACATCAAATATATGTATGTATCCTTATCTACATATGCGGTAATCTCTTCAAACAATCTCTAATAGATAGTACGACAAGATTTTCCCGTAGTGAAACCATGCTGACTATCAAACAAAATTTTTACACTTTGTTAAATGCCTTTGCAAAACAACTTTTGTAAAACTTTCAAAAACTTTTTCCACCACTGATATAAGACTATTAGGCCTATAATTACTGGGATAATTTTTATCAGCTCCCTTGAAAAAAGGAATAACATTAGCCAACTTTCAATTATCTGGCACCTGCCCACATTCAAAGAATTACAAAAAATAATAGCCAATGACCCACATTCCCAATCCTTCAAAACCACTGGGGAAATATTATCTGGATCAAGAACTTGATCATTCTTTAAACTTCCTAAAAGCTCAAAAACTGAATAAAAGAATAAAAAAGTTACAGATTACTAAGAAAATTAAACTGGGAAAAGTATTACAAAAACAAGGACTGTCCCTGCCAGAATGGGATATTAGGTCATCCTATTATAAATACACAAATAGGAAAAACAAATTAAAATTTTAACAGAAAGTTGGGATAATTGGTTATTTGATAAATTGCTATATGAAGTATCAAAAACAAAATAAATGCTGTAATAAAAAGTACACAAACAAGTAATGTGATACTAGTTGGATACATTTTTAAATGATTTTCAATCCCTACTTTGGTTGGCAAATTCAGACTGCTGCATTTAGTTTTATGGATCAATTTACTTGTTTATTTACTTTAAAATGTTTTTCTATATATTTGTTCAGTTTGTATATGTCCATGGAATGGACACAACATCTATAAACTTTCAGTATAGCCATATCTTCAATAGCTATAACTTTTACAAGAATTAAAACCACAATCACAAATTAATAAATGAATTCTTACTTTCGCCTACAGATAAGTGTATAAAGCTGCCAAAGTAGGGATTAAATGTTATAAATTTGTGATAGTGATTTTAATTCTTGTTTCATTACTTTTTTGTAGCAGGATCCCTACTTCAAGTTAAAATTCATAATTTTTAATACTCTTGTTTGTTTACTTTTTATGTTATACCTGTATAAAGTATATAATTTACCTTTAGAAACTTATCGCGTATCTATTCACCAATACATAGCACCATCTGTTGGGTTGAAAAGATATTTAAGTATGTGCATGATATGTTTACCAGTTATAAAAAATCTGTACATATTTATCGGACTATCAAAAGCAGTTACCCACAGACTAGTTGAGTAAGCTGGAAAAAAATTGTAGCTATAGAATGTGGTGTATAGGGACTTGCCCAACTGACATGATCAGATAGGTAGGTAAGAAGTAGACAAAAAAGTTGCTGTTTTAGAAATTTTTGAATTGTTATACCTGAAACATTAGCGACCTTATTAGTGTATTATTAGTATATATGCACATAATATATCATAACCAATACTTTGAAGGGCCGGTTTTTCACTCAAGAATTCAACAGGGTGGTTTTTCAGCTTGTGAATTATTTGGAAACATTGTCAATTTCTACTATTAAGTACTACCATACTTAATAATTTAAAGATTTTATTACATTTACTACAAGCAACATAATACTGCTTGTATAGCTCCATGATTTACCATAATGGGGAAAGACAATGTAGTATTTGAGCTCTGAACTTCTAAGTTCAATTTAAAATCATAACCAGATCCTGAATTTTATGAGCAACTTGTACTTAATGTACTATGGGTTTAATTTGGGCTCCAGAAAAGTCACTGTCTGCACTGAATAATATGACCGATAAGTGAAGATTTCCATTAGAAAGAAAATGTTTACAAAACATCAAAATTTTAATACATAACAGGTCTTGCCAAACATTAAACTCCTAGAAGTTGAGATGATTATCTCCCGAGCTTACACAAAACATCATTATTGTTTACATACCATTACTCCTTGGAAAAAATAGTTTCCTAAGCTTTAACTTACTAAACTATTTCATTGTTTTTTGTACACAGACAAGAGACTTATGGCTAGGTAAAAGTTAATATTTGTTTAACAAACTTAAAAATTAAATAGAACATATACATCATCACATAATGACATCCTCTTTGTATCAAGTATCAATACTGCTTAAAAATAAATTTGAAGCCCAATTTATCTTTCAATTGACCACTTGTCACTTGTAAAAGGCTACTACTGATGAGAGGTGGAATTCACTGGACCAACATAATTCTACGACAAGTGGGAAACTGAATGATAAATTGGACTTCACATTTATTTTTTAATATTTTAAATATCTTGTTACTGAATAATTTAAAAGAATAAATTTGTTGCACCAAAGTTGCATATTCTTGAAATTCCTACATAATCACAGGATCACTGCAGGAGTACAAAACATTTCAAAACACCATAGATATTACTATTACTATTCTCTACCAGAGATACTATTTTAAGTACTAATATTATTAATAATAGCCTAAATTATAAATCCCCAACACAGATACACTGAGTATTATTCTATTAAACCAAAAATTCACCTAAATTGCAGCAATTAAGGAGTCCAAATGTTAGTGGTTTGTGTTCAAATATTTTGGTGGTTCTGGAACCTTGGTTTAACTTAAAATCAAATTCACACTCAGCATCTCTTACAAGTTACATTAATGATAAATTTGATCATATATACTGTGAGTGGCTGTGAAGACAGAAGCCTTATGCATAAATATGCATTCCACACTTGATTTTCCCATTTAGTCTGCTCTAATGTAATCATATACCAAAATAAAAGTTTAATTTTACATTTTTTTCTGCAAACTTGGTCTGCCACTTTATTGTAAATGAAAAAAACTTTGAAGCAGTATTTCTAGTTTTTTTATGTGATATATTTGTAGCGTATATGTGCACATACATAAAATTAAAAATATCACTGTGTAAATGTTTTAAACATCTACTACATCGTATTGTAAACAGTATAAAAAGAAAAATATTTTGTTTCTAAATGTGTGCCAAAGTAATTTTTGTATCTAAACCTTATTCTATATTTGACAACCTGATGATTGTATTTTTTTAGGTTTATTACAATTAGGTCTATTGCCAATGGGAGTACACAAAATGAAATATTACCTTAATTGCTGGGGAAAAAAATATAATGTTTCATTTTCTGTTTTCAGTTACCTTCCTTATGTGTCAATATCATGTTAACGAAAACTTATTTGTAAACCTATTTACTTTCAGTATTTGATCATTCATGATATTATCTAATTTTTAATAAAGATTTTTCCTTAAATTTAAAAACTATTACCAAGTCGCTTTCTACAAGTCTAATTTTATAATTTATTGCATCGGATTTCAGATAGCTCTATTCTTAACTAATTACTAATACTAATTTACTTAACCTATACCACTATCAGTGTTAATTCGACAGATGCGGCTCATGTTTAAACAACTTAAAAATGGGAGTAATCATTAAAATCGTTAATAAAATTAAAAAGAAGTTTTTTATTTGTTTTTAACCCAAGAAATGTGGAACACTCGTTTCAGGTTTATAATCTAAACATTTGTATTATTCAATCTCCTACAGTGTCAGAAATTATGATACAGAAATACTAAAATTTAAAACAAATTAAAATAATTTATTAAACTTAAGCCTTAGGACCGACAGTTTACGACGCAACGGATCGTGATTATAACCTATCCCAAGTTTATAATTATAGAAACATTCAATATAATCTTAAAAAATAAAAGTTTAAGCCTATGTTCATTAGCAAACTATTATATTTAAAATCCAAAACACCATGTTTACCGAAGCAGAATTGACTTGAATTTTTTTCTTATCACTGTCCATATTATTAGATCTCTAAAAATTTCAGACACAATATAAGTCCTACCAATACTAATTACTATAAAGTATATTTATTAGACGACTGGCCGGCCACTCGGAACATAAACAATTGTTGTTCCTCAACTAAGTACGCATGCGCAGAATAGCTGCGTCTGCTGTTTGTTCAGAGACGAAAAAAACAACAAAAAAAAACAATTAAGAACACGAAATATGCTTGGAATGATATCTTGGAACGCCCATAGCCACAAAATAAATTCGTTAATAGGTTGGTGTTAAGCCCAAACCTATATAATAAACGATGTGTACCCTGTCCACCACTGGTATAGAAACCCGATTTTTAGCGTCATAAGCCTAAAGGGGGTCACAAAATGAGAAGAACGACCATTGGATGTTAAAAACTTTATAATGATGTGTTACGTCTCCGTTTGTTAATTAAATTTCGGTAACTTCGTTCCGACGAAACTTCCGCGACACAAGTCCCTACTTAATAAAACTGGTTTATTCTTTCTGAATATAACTTCACGATACACTTGATTTCAACATTCGCGCTAAAACAAACGCTATAACGACGAACGTGCTCAACTTCAATAATACTCGCTGACTGCAGATCAATTACTCACTGACTACATACACATTATTGTCCCGTCACGTTGTCACCCTCTTTTTATATAGCAGACTACCCTTTATCTAGTAAATACTAGAGCATTCGCCAAGGTACAGGATAGTTCTAGAAAATAGGTGGCGACACACCAGTCACGTGACCTCGATGACGCAACAGATGCAATAAACAAAGCTAGGGAGCAGCCATCATTTGCCAGACACATCAAAGCATTCCTTGAAACACCGATAGTGAAGAAAAACGAATATAAAAAGAAAAATAGGTACTGATCGTTTAAGTATTTGCCCAATATCAGATCCAATGAATTCATCGTTTTCACTGGATTTATAACGCATAAATCCTAAATTAGCACGCGATTTATATCAATCATTTATGAGATATCAAATCATCATTTGTGATTCAGTTTGTTGAATTATTTACAATATCTCGTGTCTTTACTATTGTGCAAGATTTTGGAAGTACTTTATCTCAGAAGTGGAAAAATGGTGAAGACTGAACATGTATTAGGTCTTCAAGAAATTGGAACGCTTTCATTAACCATCCCCCAAAAACGTACACCACGTATAATAGTTAAATGAACCGCCTAAACGTCATGTTAGTGTAGCCTATATAATGTGTAAGATTTAATATACTATACCCTTATAGTTATGACATACGACGAGACACACATTCGACATGTAATGCTGTTTGAATACAAGAAAGGATACAACACATCTGTAGCCACATATAATATCAAAGAAGTTTATGGAAATGTTTTGAACGCTCTTAAGTGTCAACGATGTTTCAGCAAATTTCGTTCATATGACTAGCCTTAAAAACTGTGATGGCAGGGGACGACATGTTGGAATTGATATTGATGCTCTGAAGACGCTTGTTGAGT